ATAATTTGGCTTTCGGTTTGGAGATCATGTAAAATCATCTTGTGGTGAATTACAACATACAGCTGACCCAGGAAGACCTGGCATCTAAGGTAGGAAGGAGGGAATCTGCCTTTGATTCTTTCCTTTCTCCTTCTCCCCTCTTAGTACCTGATTCTGAGATGAAGGGGCAATGGAGGCAGCCTATATTTTGATAGCACAGGTGCCCTTCACAGCCCCTTGCCTCATTCAAGGTCCTCTCGGAGCAAAGGTCAGTGTTTAGTCTGCATGCACTCTGCACAGCATTTGCAAAAATAAAGCAGCCAGAATAACTCTTGACACCTTGTTCTCCTTGATGCCTCAGTCTGAAGAAGCCTTAAGAATTGTTCATGTTGCCCATCAATCTTATTTGGTAATGGCGATTGATTGGGAAAAAAAAGCAGGAAGCTCAAGTTATATTGACCCACTCTATTAGTTTGCAATCTTTCCCTATCATCTCATAACAAAGACTGGGCAGAAAATAAAGCTGGAACTCTTGCTAGATATCTACATAATATACAGAGAAGATTTCCAACTATTTTACATTGCTCAAAAGGTCAGGATAACTGCATATGGATGTTTGTATGAAGGAAACACAAGCTCTGTTCAGCTCTGTAATTCAAAACAAATTTGTGGACACAGCAGTCCTTACTGGTGTGTGTGTTTCACCAGGTTCTCAGACTTGTACCATAACAACAAAAAGATAAGTGGATCCCACTATCCCATTCCTGCAAAAATCATGCAAATTTGAGCTGTTCTAATTGGTTTAATAGCAAACATAAAGACAGGATTGCATGCCTACAGACAAAGCTGGTGGACAGTTTTAATCCTGGGTTAAAATTTAGGCAGGGGGATAAAATTCTGTGGGGTCTCCGATGACCCCAGTAACACCATCCATTAGCTGGATTTACATATATACAAAACAATGTTGTGGTATTTTGAATGAAGCTATGGGCGACTGGCTTCTATATAATGCTAGGCTATAAACTACCCTCACTGGAACTCCACATCATACTGATGCAGAAAAACCAAACCAAGTGTATTATTGCTTTAATAATATTTTTTCTCTTCCTAGTGTTTTCCTGCAAGTGCAGGGTACACTTTTCAGAATGGACAGCATATAATGTTTCTAAATATGATGCATGTGCTTGTGATGCTTAATATTCTTGGTAAATCCATGCTTACCTTTTCATTGGGGTTCTGTTTCCTGATCTCACTAGTTCTCAGTTCGAGAACTTGATCTGTTTATTTGTTGATAATGGAGAGGAATAATAATACTAAAGCCCTGAAGTTGATTACATTCAAAAGGATAACATTAATGGGGCCCCACTATAACATTGCAACTTTTCACAGAACACTAAGTCACATTGCTGTCTAAGGGTAGTCAAAATAGTTTAGTTACAAGTGATTATATTCTCCCTCCCATCCCAATTAGGAACACAGAAGGGGGGCCAATGAGATATATGAAAAGCTCTGCTGGACCCGGTTGAAAACCAAAGGGCAAATTAGATTGCAGCAGAGAATGTGATTTAATCAGAGTACATAAGAAAATAAGCAAAGCGGTGCAGGTTCAGGCCAACAGTTTTGTTTTCTGCAAGGCTCTGCCAATAGGAAGCTCATACATAGGACATGAGGACATAACTGTCCCCTCACGTTTTCCACCAACATTGCCACACAATAAAACCATCTTGATGAGAAGCCCTGATAACCTTATTCTCTAGGAAAGTTTTCCAATCCCCTTTTATTACAAGTGCTTTTATACACTTCAATAAAAAAATGAAGCAGCTTATATAAGTGGTATGCAGTAAACTATGCCATACATAAAATCTAATTAATGTAATGAAGAAAATAACAATAATTGTGACCATTTCATGAACAGCACCCCTGTACTTCCTAGGTACATACATCTTCCACATCTCAATCCTGAATGCCTCCTTAAATAATAAAAAAGTTTTCACTAATTTTCTAAACATTAGCTGCTTATTTCTGAGGAGAGCCACTTCTACAAGGGAAAAGCTCCATAAAACAATACTGACCTCTGGGGGAGGGATGTTTATTTGCCAAATTTTATTATGTATGGGCACATCCAGGGCAAGCAGTTTCTTTTCTTTTTTAAAATTATTTTTATTTTTAAAAACAACAAAACATAACACACATACACACACAGTGTATACTCCTCCTTTTTTTTAACAGCAATTTCGTAGGTAATCTTCTATTATTTACATTTTCCTCCCTTATTCTTCTTTAGATATATTTGTCCTTGTTGTCCCGTTGTTTCTTGTTTGCATTTTTCTTCCTTCATACTATACTTCAAACTAAAATAGTACATATTATTATTACTATACATTATTATACACACATTTTCCATTTTTGACCTTTCCACATTTATTCTCATTTATTATTTCTAATCTCCAACCAGTCATACCACTTATTCCATATTAGATAGTACTCTGTGTCTTCCTTTTCTTTTATCTCTTTTGTTAATTTGTCCATCTCAGCACAGTCCAGGATTTTTCTTATCACTTCTTCCTCTGATGGTATATTCTCATTTTTCCAGAACTGTGCATATACTATTCTTGCTGCCGTTGTTATATGTAGAATTAAGTACCGTATTTCTTTACTATATTTTCTGTTTAAAATACCCAGCAGAAAGATCTCTGGTTTCCAGTCTACGGGTTGGTCTATTATTTCTTCCATCCATCTTCTCATTTTAGTCCAGTATTTTTTCGCAACTGGGCATGTCCACCATATATGATAATATGTTCCATGTACTTTTTTACATTTCCAACATGTTGGCGAATTGTTCTGGAACATCTTGGCAAGCTTTGCTGGTGGAAGATGGAGGGCAAGCAGTTTCTACTTGGATAAGTGGTGCTGGAGCTCTCTGTACCCCAAGTAGCTATAATTATACATAGGAGTTGAAATTCCATACTAGCAGCTTTGAAGTGTCACATTTATTTTCTCGACATTCATCTTCAGTGGATAAGAATTAAAAGTTGGCATTCTAGCTATATGTCACATTTGTCTCTGCTCTTTTCCCAAATCAGATCTGTGTCATTGTGATTCTACACTGTTACATGGTTCTTCCCATCCTGGTCTGCTTCCCTCTCTGGCAATTCCACCTGTCCATCTCTCACCTGTGCATTCTAGATGGACAAGTGAGTGAGTGAGTGAGTGAGAGACAGTGTAGTCTTTCCATTTGCCTGATTGGACCCCTTTGACATTTGTCTCTCCTTTACAAGAACTGGCTTACACACGGTACCTATATACCTACAGTTCATTCATATTCTACCTACTTTTTCTTCTGATGTGATTCCCTTTAGGTTATTCTTTTAAATTTTAAATTAACTTCAGTGCATTGATACAATTGCAATATATTAAATTTCAAATAGCAAGACTAGGACAATCTAAGAAGCACATCTGAAATACAACAGTACTCATAAGTGGGCTTACTTTTTAATATAAATAATATTGCTTTTAAGAATAATAACAAAAAAAGATACAAAGTAAAAGTACAGACATAATAGAAAATGCATAACAGGTGCTTAAAAAGTAAAGAATAACAGGAAAAAAAGCAAACTATAAAGTATGTTACATATTGTAACATTAATTATATATAGAATTATACACTTACAATTCTGTATATAATTAATGCAAATATTCTGCAAGTATATATGCATACATACACACCCACACACTTCTGGTACAATTATATAACTATCATGCTTTTTTAAACCTGCTGTATTTTGTGTAAATGAATACCAATTTTGTTATATTTATCCATACAAAGTCTAGGCAACCCACTTATAAGGAGCAAGTGAAATCAAGCTTTCAATCCATTGAGTAAATGGGGACATATATTTATCTTTCCAATGTTCCAATATCAGTCTTTTAGTTACAGTAATAGTTCAGAAAAACAATTTATATTGTCCAGGTATCAAGTTCCATGTACAAGTTCCATATAATTCAAGAGAATACTATCCTCTAACTTTGTGCACAGTCACACTTATATGTGGTGGTGCAGTGGTTAGAATGCAGTACTGCAGGCTAATTCACTGCTCACTGCCAGCAGTTTGATCCTGACCGACTCAAGATTGACTCAGCCTTCCATCCTTCCGAGGCCGGTAAAATGAGGACCCAGATTGTTGGGGGCAATATACTGACTCTGTAAACTGCTCAGAGAGTGCTGTAAAGCACTATGGAGTGGTATATAAGTATAATTGTTATTGCTATTGCTATATATTGTCTAACAGTTTCTCCAAAACCTAGCAAGTATAGGACATTATAAAGGCAGGATTTTTAAAACAACACCCAAGTTGTAAACCTATAGTGCAAACCCATCTAGAGTAAGCTGGAAGATTTGTTTATAAATTTAAAACACACTGACAATAGAAATTCTCATGAAAACCAACACAAAAGAACAAAGACTGTACAATAATAGTCAGGCCACTTTTAAAAAAAAAATCATTTTCTTACATGACGACAACATCTGGAGAAATGTACTCAACAACAAAGGGGGGGAAACCTACAAAACCAAATGGTTTTTTCATTGAAGAAAAATAAAAAAGTATTGCAAAGTACCCCTGATGACTGCTGAAATTTGTTTTGTAGGGTCCTACACCAGTGATGATTGTATGCATGTCTGAATTCAGTGAGAAAATTTCAGCTTTCTTTTCCAATTGTTTGGGTTTTACATATGACTTCAAAAAGAATAATACATCACCTATTTACTAGTTAACATTTAATGTCCACTGGAATTGTCTGATTCAGCCATCACCCATGGAAGAGGTTGCCCAGTTTTGTTTTTCCAGCTGTGTGGCTCACCCTCAACGGAACCACTCTTTAATCAAGCCACCTCCAGCAAACAGCCACCTCTCTGAACAGCCCCCTGGGGACTGTGGAATAAATACATAAATAGCCAAGGAGCAGGGATTATTGAAAAACCCATCAATCAAGAGCCAAATTCTCAATGACATGCAGCACCTGGGGCCCAGAGAAGAAAAATGCACTGCAATCTTGATTGTTTATCCTTTCTATGAATTATTCAAAGAGCCCCATTTGGTATTCAGGCTAGGTCCCAAGTTGCTTCTGTCCCTTCATCCATACTGCCCCGTGGCTGTGACCCCACATTTCAGGGAATAAGTGAGTGATGGATGGGCTGTCTGATTGGGAAGCCAAGCAATCGCATTGATTTTTTCCAATGTGAGGCTCTTAACCCAACAATTTGAACCAACCCTTCCCCCCCAATCAACTTTCCCTGTGTTTATTTGTCATGTGTTCTACTGCTGTTCTTAATCACACAAGAGTTCAACAGGAATTATTTACTTATTTTTTGTCCTGTGCCTTCAAGTTAGTTTTTGACTCCTGGTGACGCTTGGACTAGTTCTTGCAGTTTTCTTGACATGTTTTTTTTCAGAAGTCATTTGCCCTTTACCTTCTTGAGTGACTGGCTTGGTCACTGAGCTGGCTTTCATGGCTAAGAATTCAGTTTCTCGATTTCTAGCCTGGTGCCTTAACTAAACCAAACTGACTCTGTATGTTTTACAAGATAAAGCTAGGAAACATAAGGAAGAGGAGAATGGTTTTCTGATCTCATCTATAAGAACTGGGGGGGGGGAAGTTGGCTTGCTTGCTTCTTTGCTGGTTTTAAGTGGTGAAACATGTACCTTCATCACTTTCACCTCCATTCATCTCTTGCCTCTGATAATTCCTAGGCAGGTTTGCTTGTGAAACAAAGTTGGTGCAAAGGTTTTTGTTGGGTTGATCCTTATGCAAATGGAATGCATCTTACCCACAGTGGCTTTAACCCTCAAATCAGAAGAACACAAAGAAGATTTCCATTTGCACAAGCCAAAATATGGAATCTGCTCTTCTCCATATACATTTTCCCCCAATCTCTATTCTTAAGGTGCTTATTTACGGTATTCTCAAGCAATCTTTTGTAAATACAATAGGCTCATTAATTTTTGGAAATGAGTAGATTTAAATCAGAGATCCTTGGTGCTCTCTGAGCTTTGTTGTTTTCTTGCAGACATTTCATTACCCAAATCAGGTAACATCAGTACTAGTCTAATGTAGTCTAGTCTAGCACTATCTAGTCTAATTGCTAGCACTGATGATGTTCCCTAGTTTGGGTAATGAAATGCTTGCAAGAAAACAACCAAGCTCAAAGACATCAAGGAACCCTCATTTCAACCCTGAACTACAAATATTCTCCTCTATTGGAATCAGTAATACGTATGTCCTAATTTTCTACCTCTTCTTCTCTTTCTGCACTCGTCCATATAAGAAATAAAAACCATCACAGAACTGACTGGTGTTTTATGCTCAACACAATTTAACAGAAGTAATCTGAATTAAAATCAACACATTGTGGCCAATTTTGATTGGCCTCCAAGTTAAATATTTTACTGCACCTGATACACACACACACAGACACACACACACACACACACACTTGCAGAAACTAAAGGGAAAAAAACCACACACACACACAGTGCTTTTTTTGTAAGAAAAAAGATGCCGGAACTCACATCTTGTTAATCTTTTATTTAAAAAATTATATATTCAGCTCTTAGCAGGACCGGTGGTTGAGAAGTAATTTTTTTTTCATTTTTAAATTTAGGGTCACACTTTTACACTAAAAATTTTAAAAAGATTTTCAATTCACCAATGTTTTTTTAAAAGAAGAAATTATTTACCTTTCGCACGTAGTCAATCACTGTACACCCATCCACACATGTCAGTTGTGTAACAAAACATAACGGTCGCCGCCCACAATAAGCACTCAGCACGCGACCACATGACCAATCACAAGCCAAACAGCGCCATCACAACCAGCATGGACAAAGTACGCATGCATCAGACTCGACACACAAGTAGCCAGCATGCACCTTTTTTAATGATTTTGCCGCCAACCTGCTAGCTCGACAGGGCGATTCAAGTCCACGTGGACCAAACATTAAATTTTCAAAAGTTACTTTTAAAACTTGGAAAAATCCATTGAAAAAAGGTGCCGGAACTCTGTTCCGGTGCGTTCTATGACAAAAAAAAGCATTGCATACATATATATATGATAGATAGATTAAAAAAAACCGTATTTGTGGTTTGCTTTTTTCCTTTAGTTCCTTTCCTTCCTTTAGTTCCTTTTCTTCCTTTAGTTTCCAAAATGGAGAAGCAAAGGACTCAAGCCTGAGTACCCCACAACATCAGAAGCCTAGGGCTTGACCTCTCCTCTCTTCACCCCAGCAACACTGACTGGAACCAGCCCCAGAGGATGAAGAATCAATACAAAACACATCCTCCACTCCCAATCTCAAGAGCCAGTCCAAGAGGAAACCATGGCTGATGTCATTGAACACTTCTAAAAGATTCAGGAGGGCAGGATGGATCCACCACCTCCATCCCAGGTCATCCACAAGCATAACCAATGCTCAGTGCTGTAACATGACATGAACCCTGACTGAAAAGGGTCCAAATAATTCACTTCATCCAGGATCCTCCAAAGCTGAGTGCTACCACCCAATTAGCAAATTTCCCTAAAATAGTTGTTCACACCATGCAGATTTTTAAAATTGTTTGTTACCTCCATTATTTCTACTCATTAACTCTCATTAGATATCTCCACTGATTTTTGCATCACATACCCTGCTTTTAATGTAAAGGATTTCAAATAATTTAGTATTTTCAAAACTCCAAAATCAGCCACACTCTTTAAACAGCCACCAATCGGTATGAAAGATAAAAAGGCAGGCAGGATAGGAGGCCGTGTAACAATATGGCCTTACATGTTCAGGAAGCATTTGAGGAAGCAGGTGGAACAGAACAGTGCAGTGAATTGGTTTGTCATCATTGGATTTCCCTCTGTTCTTTCAGGTTCAACGAAGCCACGAGCTTTCCGTTGTGATGGGCATTCCTGCAATCCTGCGGTGGGAAATCTAGCAACAGGCAGGACACCGACGACACTTACCACTTGCGGACAGAACAGCACAGAACTCTACTGCTTTTATCCAGAGCACAACCTGTACCATGGCTCCTGCGGATTGCCCAAGTGTACCAAATGCAATGCCAACCAGCCTAATAACTCTCATCTTCCTGATGAAATGACTGATGACTTCTTCCTGCATCCTGGTTCCTGGTGGCAGTCCGCGCAAGGGGTGCACAGGGAAGAAATCAGGCTGGATCTGGAAACAGAGTTCTACCTGACCCACGTCATTGTAGTCTTCAAGTCACCCCGCCCAGCAGCCATGATACTGGAAAGGTCCCAGAACTATGGGCAGACCTGGAGACCTTACAAATATTTTGCTGTCAATTGCACAGCTACATTTGGGCTTCCAGATGATAGCACCGAAGAGGGATCTCTCTGTACTTCCAGATATTCTGATGCAGTGCCTTGCACCAGAGGAGAGGTAAGCTATGGTAACTGAAAAAGGATATATTTTTTCAAAAAGTTACCTTGATCTTATGGTTAGCAAAATTAGAGAGCTCTTCCAAAGAAATGCCCCTGGATTATTAGTCAACCATATAACTGTTGTCAGGTATCCTATTTTATTGAGGAGGGCCCTCCTTTGAAAGATTTTGAGAGGATAATTCTCTGTTTGAAAATGTGCTCTGATGGAAGGATTGCTCAGTCCAAGTGTTTTAAAGTTTAAGAACTCTAGGGAAGTGGCTTTGAAGTTGCCTGTCAGCAGCACTCGGACAGCAGATTTGGGTAAGTAAAGAAGTCATATTGGTCAAAAAAATGCTGAGCAAAATTCTCTTTGAAACTTTGAAACTCTTTTAAACTTCCTGAAAATATTGGGGAATAAAAGGGAAGAAGAAAAATGCTATTTTGAAGTTATTTTGCGCCATTCTGCATACACTACAAGTATGGCTGGAGAGAAGTGGTCAACCCACTTTAGAAGATTGGTCTGAAAGCAGCATGAGGTGTGTCTGGGTGGTGAGAACTAACAGAAAAGATCACAGCACTAGGGGCAATCTGCTTTAATTCATGTTTTTTTTTTTTTTTAAAAAAGATAGCTACTAGATATCTAGACTGATATGTTTCATTTAGATTAATATTTCCTTTTCTTTTTAGCATCCAATGTCTCCTTCAGTCAGGGAAGAATGTAGGGGTAGAACATGTGCTTTCATACAGAAAAGCCCTTTCTGAAGTTCTGAAAACCTACAGTTCTTGTTAATAACATTGGTTAGACAGGTAACTGATGAATCTCAGCATAACACAGTTCTTAGCACACAATGGTATAACCCAGACCTATAAACATTTATTCAGAAATTCCTTCTGAAGGGTATTTAATGGGCTCATGCACACATTATATACATAAGACGACAGCCTTAAAAGTACCATTATCTTAGTTTGAATGCTGTTTTACAAATGGATTGTATTTGTTACCATCCAAAGTGTTGAATAGGTAACCATAATCTATACCAAGCATGGTGATAGTAGTTGAAGAAGATAGGAGCTATCATGCAGCACATCTATAGGGTATCTGATTGGTAGTGTCAACTGGAAAGCCAACAGCCCAAGTTCGAGAGCCAAGTGCCACGCAACAGGGTGAGATACCATTACTTGCCCCAGCTCTTGCCAAGCTAGCAGTTCAAAAGCATACAAATATGAGTAAATAAATAGGTACCTCTTTGGCGGGAAGGTAACAGTGTTCTATGTTTTCATGCTGACCACATGATGTTGGAAGGTGTCTTAGACAACAGAGGCTCCCTCGACTGAAAATTGGAGATGAGCACCGCCTCCTTCAGTTGGTCACGGCTTAATCTTTACCTTAAAATATGAAAAATGCATGAAATTGCATCATAGTGCACTTTTGCAGAGGATGACTTCGTAGGACATCTAATACAGCAAGTACTGCTGGTGGATGGTGGTGCTGATATAAGCATTCATATTTAATTTCTATAGCTTATTTCATTTTTGCTACTATGTTGATATAATACAAGCCATCGTCTAACTTTACCTACATTGAACAGAAGTTATGATCAAAAGCAGAAGCTTATGTTAAAGTACTGATGCATTCAGCTTAAGGTCCCAAATGAGACAGAAATAGTTATGGAAATGAAATTTCTTTTTTCATCCTGTCCACCTGTATACAGCCAAGAGATTTGGGAAATGAGAAGCACATTTTTTAATAAAGCAGAGCATGCGGAAATGAAGATAAGCATCTTTTTGGACGGAGGATCTTGGAGCAATGCAAACCAGCTCATTACGACTTTCTACTTTAATGTCACTGGAGCTATATGTCAAACTACTCTTCTAACAAAGAGTACAAACACTTGCTTGTTTCCTTGCTTGTTTATTTACACTTCCATTAGAATGTAGAGAAAGTTAAACTATCAAAAGGCTATTCATTTTAGACAAGAGCCTGTGTGACAGATGACACCAATGAAGTGTGCTAGAATGAGCCCATTACTGGAATTCACTAGGAAAAGAAGAATTGTGTCTGCTTGAATAAGATAACCTGTTGCTATGGAAGCATGTTAAACATGCTTTGCTTGGCAGACTAGTTTAAGCTCTACAGTCCAAGCCATATCCTGCCCAACCTGGGGGGGGGGGGGAGAGAATAGTTAATATAAAATGCAACCAAGTGGGTTTTTAGAATGTTTGAAATATATTTCAAAACAGAAAAAGGATCAGATCTATTCTGTTCATCTTGTACCTGAACTGGTAAACATGATTCTGATAGAAATTGTCCTTGGAAAAGTCCCAAATTTAGAATTGCCAACACCTAATTTGGACCAGCTCTGCTGTGCTTTTTAAAATGGCATCATAAAAATGTATCTAGAAGTTGGGTTCTTCCAGCATCAAAGCAACAGTGAGGGACTTCTGTCAAAACTGAAGTGTGGACTCCCCTAGATCTGTAACTGCATGTATGCAAACCTACACCTTTCATATATTTATAAAAGAGTAACAAAAACTAGTTTTGTAAAAGAAAAAACAAAGTCAAACTTCTATTCGCTGTTCTTCATAGGCTGGAGCAGGTACCTGGTCTTGCGGGGTATAGCAAACAGGTAAGGCCAGAAAGGATTTCAGGGGAAGATGTTGGCTCAAGTGGGTCATACCTACAAGGAAGAAGAGAAACATATGCTAAAAGGACAAATATGCTGGGAGCTAGAAGGGCCTTCAAGGCTACAATATCATTTTTCTCTGCTTATGAAGCTCCTGAAATACTGATCTGAGATGGAGACTTGTGACAAAGTGAGATGGCCAATTGGATTGTGTATTTTGGGATGCTGATTGGACCACTGGGTATAGGGCCATAGCAGAGGAAGAGCATAAAAAAAATATAAAGAAGGATGCTTTCAGTCCTTAGAGCTCCGTTGGAATGGTGGGAAAGAAGAAGTTAAAATTAGCCTGGAGATAGCATCTTTTACAGATCAAACTTGACTCGTGGTGACTTTAGAGACAAATACATTCAGGGGTTTTTTGTTTTTGTTTTTGGCAATAATATGGCAGGGGTTTCTGATTTTTCACCCCCAACTTTCCAGTTTAGCCATAGCCTAAGTATTTCCTGGTGAACTCCCTTTGAAAAGATAACCAAACCTGACAGTGCTTAGCTTCTGAGCCCAGACAGGTCAGCCAGCTGCTGCCACGTGCTGATATATACACACAGGGCAGGACAGCATATTTTTCCATTGAAAAGCAGGGCTAAGAAAAACTCAACAGGTTAAGCCCAGACCCCCACTAGGGCCAAGTTGCAACTTCAGGGTCACCTCTTGAATAACAAGTCTTTGACTCAGCATTTCCGCTTTGGACCTCATGCCAAAGAAAGCTCATTGCAATTCTGTAGTTATTTCAGCTTCCAGCTGGAAAAGATCAATCCGGGGATTAGTCACTGCTAAAGGCAAGTGCCCAAATGTTATGACTAGGGTTGTCTGTTCAGTATTTCACTGAACTTGAGCTGCAGAAGAGATAAAATACAGAGGCAGAGGTGGGGGGGGGAGCAGTTAACCTCCGCAGAATAAACACACAGACAGCACAGCCAGGTTCTGCTTCCCCAGAGGAAAGGCTTATAGTGTGCCTTATGTGTTTTTGAGTGGTAGCAAGGAATGGAAGTATAAACAGAGAATGTGCAAAAAAGACAGAACAGAGGCTCAGTTTATTGCTGCCCCAATGTAAAAAGAATTATATCCTTTCAACCAGCATTTTAATGAGCCACATCAACCGCAGGCTGGCTTTTTCTTCTTTTCCTTTCCTTTTGACTTGAAACCAGCCAGGAACAAGCCCTGTTTTTCCCTAGCATAATTTCTGCACTTTCTCATCTTTGCACTATGATAGAAATGCTTGATACTGCTGCTTTGATTTTATTTATTCAAAACATGTACATAGCTGAGCCAACACTGGGCAGCTTTTGTTGAACCCTAACAGAAAAAAGACCATGGGAGATGTTCTTAACTAAACTTGAACTTTCTCCATCTTCTCCTCCTTCCTCTTCCTTCTTTTTCTTCCAGAACTTATTGTTGCTAGGCTTATGTCTCAATCTGCTTTTGAAAAGCTGGAAGACTATTCATAGGGACCTCAATGATCTCCCAGTGCAAACATTAATCAGAAGGGCATCTACTTAGGATGCAGAGTATTACAATACCAAAACTTTGCAAAGCCATTTCAGGACTCTATCTTAGGGCATCTCTTAGACCATTGGTGTACTGTATAAGCTTTCTTTTTCCCAGCTAAGTTCATTTGAGTTAACTAGTTCAAATCTCAGTGCAGTTGGCAAGCAATGAAGGGAATGAATTACTCTGCAGTGGCAATGTGTGTGTGCACGTGTTTGTGTGTGAAGTGACCTTGATAATTTACTGTCCCAGCTATTCACGCCACATGATTAGTACAGTGACCTTCAGAAGATACACTTGCTACTGTGCAAAAGCAAATTTGCAGAGCAATTAGTTGTTTACATACTGCCATTTTACGTTGGATTTTATGTCCGTTAGAAAAATCCATTTTCCAAAGAATATGTAAATGTATCTGAAAAATATGTAAATATGTCTAGAAACACTCCAGGCAGGTGCTAATTTGCCATAGCACTTTTGTTCAGATGTGGTAGAAATATTTAAACGGACACAACGATTGATACTAGTGCATTTTGAAAACTTGAGAAAGTAAATGGACGGTGCTCAACATTAACTTTAAAAAAATGTGCCAGCAAAGATATTAAAAGAGCATTAGAACAAAAATAAATACCCCACTTAGTTTGTGTGGTGCAGTGGTGAAGGTATTGAGCTGTCCCCAGAAAGATTTAAAATCTAATTCCCCTGCAGCTATGGAACCCCACTCTGTGGCTTTTACTCCAATCCATTTCAAGGAATAAAATAGGAAGAGAGACCACGTTGAGCTCCTCTACCATGGGTGAGATAAAAATCTAGAAATGCATTTTAAAAATGCACATGTAATCTAAAGAGACAT